TTGAGCTGTTCTGCCCCTCCTTGGGGGGGGGGGGGGCCTGCGGTAGAGCACTGAGGTGGGGGAGGGCTGTGGTCGGCAGCAGGGTCTCTGTGAGGGTACTGGGGGGAGGGGGTGGGTGGCGATGGGAGGGTCCCTCCCAGGCTGGGAATGGAGGAGCCAGAGTGGGGAGAGAACCCAGGCATCCGGGGCTGCTTCAGTGCCAAAAGGGCTGGGGGCCTCCAGGACTCCTGAGGGGGTTGGGGTTGACCTAGGGACACAGGCAAAAGTGTGATAGTGAGGGCTAGGCCACATGCATGTGTCCTGGACCTGTGGGGCCCACGTGTGTGTCTGTGACACCAGGTTGGGGCATGTCCTGGACGCCTGCGTTCTGCATGTGCAGATACCACCCCCTGGGCCTGGGGGCAGGGTTCAAGGGGCTGCCCCACCCTGTAACCGGGACCCGAGCAGACCCAGACTCCTGGGTTCCACAGGAAACCCCTGGTCCTTGCCCCAATCGATTGAGCCAAGGCCTTGATGGCAGGTCACAGCTCAAGGCCACAGCACCTGGAGCTCCTAGACCCGGGACTCCTGGGTTCTCTGGGGTGGGAGGGGCTGAGGGGTGAGAGCAGGAGGCTGAAGGCCCGGATGCCTGGGCTCTCTGGGAGCAGCTGGGGGGGGCACCCAGGCCCCGGCCCCTGGGTTGTCTTCGGGTGCCTCCTCCCTACCTGTTCCCCCTAGTCCACAAGTTGAACCCGGGGCTGTAGGGCAAAGGTGGTATTTATGGGGCCTTAGCCCTGAGAACAGAAAAGCTTGTTAAATAATCAGTGTCATAACTTGTGTTGTCTACCCCCCTCGCACCCCCCGCCAATCAGGAACCCAGGTATGTGGGGTCCCGGCCCCTGCCCCCCCAGGTATCTAGGCCCCTCTCCTCTCACCCTCCAACCCCTCCCCTCCCACAGAACCCAGGCATCCGAGCCTGGGGGAGGCTCCCTTCATAGCCCCCCCGCCCCCGCAGTTGCTATCTTGCCCTTGGGGCAAACTCCAGGAGCAGCCACACCCGCCCCCAACCTATATACTCCGCAGCCCCAGCAGGCCCCGCAGCCACCATGTGCCCCGGGGCCTGTTCGCGGGTGTTGGGAGCCGCGCTCTGTCCCCTGGCTGTACTCTGCGCCATCTGCAATGTGCTGCTCTGCTTCCCCAACTGGGAGACCCAGTTTGTGCATGGGGGTGGCGCCCACCTCACCCCGGAGGTGATGTACATGGGTGGCCTTGTTGGTGGCGGCCTGTTGGTACGAGGAACGCTGGGCAGATTGGGAGGGACTGGGAGCTGAGCCAGGGGATGCGGGGTGCAGGCCAGACCAGGGTCTTTGCCCTTCTCTCTTCTCCTTCCAGGTTGTGATCACTGCCATCCACTTCCAGGCAGCTGGGCATCAGGGCTGCTGCGGGAACCGCTGCGGGGTGAGAGACCCCTGCCCTAAATCAAGGGGCTGGGGTTTGGGCGTGAGGGGCACCAGCAGGGTGGGGGGAGGGGCTGCAGGTCAGGAGTGAGGGACACTGGGGGCGCAGGGGCTGCAGGGCAGGAGTGAGGGGCACCGGCTGGCCTGGCCCTGATCCTGCCCCCCCGGCTAACAGCCCTCCCCTGCCCCTGCAGATGTTCCTGTCCATGCTGATGGCGGTGCTGGGCATAGGGGGTGCGATCTATGCCATGACGGTGTCGGGGCTGGCACTGGTCCGTGGGCCCCTGTGCCAGTATCTCCTGCCCGAAGGCAACCTCTCAGATTGGGGACGGCCCTTCCAGGGCCCACCCTGGAAGTCCGATGATGATGATGACTTCAGGTTGGGCGGGCGAGGGTTGGGAGTGAGGTGCACCGGTGGGGGGGCTGGAGAGGCAGGGGATGCGGGTCGGGAGTGAGGGGCACTGGCCGGGCTTTGGGGGCCAATCCAGGGTGACCCCCTGCCCCCCCGCAGGAAGTCGAGCTACCTGTTCCACCCGGAACTCTGGGGGAAATGCCACAACCCGCCGGACGTGGTGAAGTTCAACATCATTCTTTTCTCACTGATCCTGGGGGGAGCCGTGCTGGAGCTGCTGCTCTGCACTGTGCAGTTCTTCAACGGCTGTGCTGGCTGCATCTGTGGCCCCCGGCTCCGCAAGCGCCCTGTGAGTGCCTCTTATTCCCAGCAGGCCCCACCCCAGAGCCAGCCGCCCTGCAGGGCTGGCCGCAGGCTGTGACAGTGACAGATGGGGACTCACCTCCTTCCTTTCTCTTTCAGGCGACGCAGCACTGAGGTGCACTGGAGCCGCACCCCCAGCTCCAGACCCACATGGGTACCCAGGCATCCAGGGTCACCCTAAGCACCATGAACCCAGGACGACTTTGGGGAGGGAGTACAGGGGGGGTCCTGCTGTACCTTGCTTGTGGCTCCAATAAAGCCCAGGACAGGGTCAAGGGTCGTGTGGTGCCTGTGGAGAACGAGGGGGGATTGATGGGGGGTGGGAAGGAAGAAGCTGTGACCTACCCGCTCCCTGACTGGAGCCCCTCGCTCCCATCCCGCAGCTGTGCCAGCCCAAGTGGTGCCCCTGACCACCGGCCCCCCAGCCCTGCGAATGCCCCTTACTCCCAACCCGCAACCCCCAGCTCAACAAGTGCCCCTCACTCCTGCCCCGCAGCCCCACCTCCATCCCCACCCCCACCGGTGCCCCTCACTCCCGACCTGCAGCCCCACCTCTCCTGCAGCGGGGGGAGGGGGTGGGCAGGAAGTCACAGCTCAGCTGTTGGCCTGGCTGTGCAGTGTGGCTGTGGCAGCCCTGTCGCCCGCTCTGCCCTGAGCCATTGCTGGGGGGTCACAGAGCTTGGAGCCCCCCGAGGCGGGTAGGTGACTGCGGGGGGAAGTTGGCGGGGGGCATCCCAGACACCTGGGTTCTGTGTGTGCTGTGGGAGAGCAGGGAGCTGCCTCTCTGGGTCCTGTTCAACCCCCACAACTCACCTCCATGGAGCTGGGCTGGGGCAGATGTGGGGGTATCAAGGCTGGAGAAGGGGGCAGTGCCCTAGTGGGACCTGAGCTGAGACCTGAAGGACTCGTTCCATGTACACATGGGGGATATCAGAGCTACAAGTACCCCCACCAGCTACTGGAATCCCTGGAGAGGGAAGGCCCCTGCCCTGCCCCCCCATGCAGTGCCCCCCAGGACACCTGGATCAGGCCCTGGCAGGGACTGCCCCCCCCACCCCTCCCCCACTGTGCAGATCTGGTGACAGGAACTCTTTATCAGCCCCACTCAGCAGTAACGATGGCGGCCTGTGGTGGCCTGTGGCTACAGGAAGGGAACCCAGGCATTTAGGTGCCCAGCCCCCACTGCTCTCACCCCTCAGCCACTGAGAACCTAGAGAACCCAGGCATCTGGGCTTCCCACTCTGATGCGCAAGACTCCACTTCTTCTCCTTTGAAACTGGAACTAAAGGATAGAAGCTGGGTCCTCTCCCTGCTGTCTAAGAGGGGATAAGGGCTGGCTGTGAGAGAAGTGGGGGCTGGGAGCCCAGACGCCTGGGTTCTGCAAGGGGCTGGGGTTAGAACAAAGCCTGGGAGCCCAGACACCTACAGCTGGATTTAGGACAAGGCCTCGCTTCCCCACAACCCCAATTATATTGCCGAGGGGCAAGGCACACACCTCAGCTGCCTCTTCCTGGGTGGGGGCTATAAAGGGGCAGCCCTGGGGGCAGGAAAGACTCATTGAAGGTAGCAGTTTTGGCCTGGGACCAGTAGGTTACTGGGAGAACTGCGAAGGGGGCTGTGGGTTGGGAGCAAGGGGCACTGGGGGTGCGGGGGGGACTGCAGGTTGGGAGCAAGGGGCACTAGCAGGGCTGGGGGGGCAGTCCCCATTGTCTCGACCCCCCCCAACCCCACTCCAGGCCCCGCGATGGCTGCAGATCCTGAAGACAGCTCCGTGCCGCTGTTGCGGGACCCTGAGGATTCCCCTGTGACCCTTGCCCTGACCTGTAAGTGCCCCCTGTCCCCCCTGGCTGACCTCTGCCCCAGGCTCCTCCTGACCCTGTGTCTCTTCCAGGCCTGGGGAAGTTGGTGCTGTCGGCACTCCCAGTCGCCTGCGTTGTGGTTGGTGAGTCCAACCCCCTCAATGGGGCAGTGCAGATATCCCCTTCTGCCCCCCTCACTGACCCCATGCTCCCCCAGGGGCTGTGTACCTGCGGCAGTGTCCCTGCCAGCCCCTGGTGCCCGTTTACCTGCTGGGCATGGGGGTCGTGGCCCTGCTGAGCCTGATGCTGACCTGCCTGCCCTGTGGCGATGGGGCTGAGCCGCCCCCAGTGAAGCCTGGAGTCTGGGGCTGCCATGCGCTCTTCCTCCTCTTCCTCTTTGCCTGGTTCATCGCTGGTGAGTCACAGGCCCAGATGCCTGAGTCCACTGGGGAGAGAGGGAGTGGGATGTTTTGACCTTTTGATCTCTCAGTGGCAGCCCTCTCCTAGGGCTGCTTGTATACCAGGCCCCTCTAGCTTGCATTTCCCACCTCTCCAGCAGTGACCTCTGACCTCTTGTGGCCTTCCCTGACCCCTTACCTGCATCTTCCTAGCTAGCTGTGACCCCTCAAAGTCCCCCCTAGCAATAACTTCTGATCCTTTCTAGACCCCCATCTCAATGTTCTAGCTAGCTGTGACCCCCTTGATTTCCCCCCAGCAGTAACCCCTGACCCCTTCCTGACCTCCACAGCTGGGTATGACCCCGTCCCATTTCCCAGTTCCTATCTAGTTGTGACCCCTTGAAATTCTCTCTAGAAATGACCCCTTCCCAGCTGGGTGTGACCCCTGACTCCCCACCTACATCTTCCCAGCTAGCTGTGACTTTGTGAACTGCCCCCAGCAGTGACCTCTGGCCCCACCCCAGGCAGCCTGACTCTGCCCCTGCATGACCACTGACCCTTGCCCTCCCATGACCTCTACCCCACAGGCAACGTGTGGGTATATTCCATCTACCCGCCGGAGTACGTAGCCATTGGGAACCCGCACTTTTGCCACCGCGGCCTCTACCTCTTTGCCTTCTGGCTGACCACGGGTGCCTACATCGCGCTGGGCCTGGCGCTGCTGCTGGCCCTTGGAGCCGCTGCCTGCCTCCTGCTGCTGCGCACTCGCCTGCCCTGGGCCCGCCACGCCGACTACCCCTAGGGGGTCAGGGGTTGCTGGTCACTTTGGGCAGAAAATGGGACCAATAAATCAGTGAGAAGCCCAGGCCTCTGAGGCAGTATCCCCTAGGGCTCCCATGCGTTTGCCCACACTCCCATGACCCCCTGGGGTAGCAGCCCCCCTCGTCAACCTAACAAAACCCTGTTAAAGGGTGTCTGCAGGTCCCCCTGCACCCGGGTCCGGGGGAGGCAGGGTCCCGAGTATGTACCAGTGGCATCCACGTCCACGATAATCTCCTGCAGTGCCACAGGGGCTGGGACCTCGGCAGGTGGCAGGGAAGGAGAAGAGGGGTGAGAGGTGCCTGAGGGCAAAGAGCCCCCAGCCCAGTGCTGCTCTGGGAGGTCTCGGGGGTCCTAGCGCAGCTCACACAGGCTATGTACTGAGGGCCAAATCTGGCAACACGACACAGCCATGGGGCTCCCATTCTGGTGGCACCACAGGGCAGCAGGGCCTCGCTGCAGAGGGCACCGGCCGCCTGCCTAGAGGACAACTCCACCTCCAGCACTGCATCCAGGGCCATGGGGCTGGGGTGCCTGTGACGGTTAGTGCCCATGGGCCCCGCTGCATCCTGCAGGAGACAATGGGGGTCACAGGGTTGCTGGGCACTGGGACCCTCAGGCCAAGGAAACCCAGGCATCCGGTCTGCCAGCTCTCACCCCTGCAGCCTCCCCTCACCCCCTCCCACACAGCTCAGGTTTCCGGGCTCCCAGACACTCATCCCCCAGCCACCACTCCCTGGCCAGGAGACCCCTGGCCCCAGGAGTCTGGGTGACAAAACCTGGCAGTTTCCCATAACTCGGGCACTGTGGATAGGATCTGACACAGGCGCCACCCTTGTTAAGAGGAGCTGTGGCAGGCAGGGTTGTCCCTCGGGGAGGGCGAATCGGGGTGACCACCCTGGGTCCCGCACTTTGGGGGGCCCCGCAGAGCTGGGTGGAGCAGTGGTGGCGTGGAGTCGGGCGGAGTGGTGGCTCCGTGTCCAGTCATTCGCTATCCCCCGCTGCCGCCGTAGCTTCTGCCGGGCCTGGGCCAGAGTGGGGGCGGGTCCCTGCATGGGCTGATTTCCTGTGGGCCCCACACCCTGTTTGGGTCACCTCTGGTGGCAGGATGTGCCGGGCCAGGCCGGGCTGGACTTTCCTATTCCCCTTTTTCCCACTCCCTCGTGCACACGCAGCCCTCTGTCTCGTGGCACGTCGACCTCTCCATAGGACACGACACTGTCCTGCAGCACCTCCAGCAGCAATGCGCTTTTTGTAGAAAACACTGGGTAAATTGAGACTCCCTGACGAGAGATTTCAATCCCAAATTAAATCATAATTTCAATGGATTTGATCAAATCCATCCTGCCGGCAGGGGACAACCCAAGCACCTGGGACCCTTCACGCATGGGGAGAGAACCTAGGCATCTGGGCCCCCCCACAGAGACCCCATACCCCTTCCCCCCACAGGCTGACGGCCAGACGCCGGTGTCTGCGCTGCCAGGCTGTGCCCCTCCCTGCATACGCCCTGTGGCTGCACCACTTGTCAGTGACGTTTTCGGCTGCACCTAACAAAAATAGTCGATGACGTTAATGTTCCTTGTAGCGGTGCCGATGAGGCACAGCCGATGCCCTTGCACAGCTCGAGCCCCTTTCCCAGGCCTGGGAGGGGGTCTGAGGCTGGGTTCTCGCGGGTTGGAGCAGGAGAGAGGGAGCGGGAGGAGCGAAGCTCCCCAGGCTGCACTCCCATGATGCTCTGGGGCTCCTGTGCCCTTAGCTGCACTCCCAGAATGCCCTGGGGCAGGAGTCCTACTTACCCACACTCCCATCATCCCCAGAGGCAGGAAGCTGCCTTGGCTGCATTCCTGTGATTTAGCTGCATTCCCATGATGCCCTGAGACAGGAGCCCCCCTTGCTTGCACTCCCATGATCCTCTGCGGTAGGAGCCCCCTTGCCTGTACTCCCATGATGCCCTGCAGCAGAAGCCCCCTTACTCGCACTCCCAAGATACCCCAGGACAGGAGCCCCCCCAGCTCCTTGCCTGCCCTCCCATGATGCCCTGCGGCAGGAGCTCCTATACCCGCACTCCCGTGATCCTCTACGGCAGGAGCCCCCTTGCCCGCACTCCCATGATGCCCCGCGGCCGAGCCCTGCCCCCGGAACCCGGAAGCGGCTGCGCGTCCGGGCCCCGCCCCCCAGGAGGACGCAGCCAATCGGCGACCGCCGGCTCCCGGCGGGCGGGGACAG